CCCAACACCTCCACTTTCTATTGGCTGCACCAGTACTGGGACGAGCCGTCCGACCCGCGCACCAGAAACTACTTCTTAGTGCACCCGTCCATGATATCTATGGCCCTATTGATGATTGTATACATGCTTTTAGTGGTGGTTATCATACCCGGATTCATGAGGAATCGCAAACCCTTTAACCTGAAGGGCCTTATCATCGGTTACGACGTGTTAATGGTTTGTGAAAAAGTTTTGTTTGATCATTAAGTTCTGTGTTATAACGGGCACTGGTATCTCAAACTACAGGTGCTTATCAACGGCTACTTCTTCGCCAAGACATTGCAGATCAGTTGCTTTGGTCTGGAAATGTGGAACTTTAAGAATACGAAAGGAGATACCTCTCCAAAGGCCATGGAGTTTATCGACACGGCCTACTACTACTACCTGTCCAAACTGGTGGATATGGTGGACACGTTTTTCATGGCTTTCCGTAAGAAGAACTCTCACATCTCGTTCCTACACGTGTGGCACCACATCTCCCTGCCCTCCGCCGGCTGGATGTTCATGAAATACAATCCATGTATGTATTGATTATGAGTTCCCTATACTAACCACCCATTTATACTGTAAATCATATTCACTATTCATTGAGAATATACCGCAGAATAACTACTGTTTCTTAACGTCTAAACAAATGATTACATAATCTATTCACTCATTTAGTGTAAAGAATTGGAAAATATATTAAAACTATTGAAATATTTTGTGCCACAGATATGCCGACGATATGCATAATCCCTATAATAAACACCTTTATTCACGTCATAATGTACTCCTACTATGCTTTGGCCGCATTGGGACCCCAGTACCAGAAGTACTTGTGGTGGAAGCGCTACATCACCCAAATCCAACTGATCCAGTTCCTGTGTGTCATGAGCTGGTTCGTGGTAGTCTACTATAAGCAAACAGACCTACCCATTGGCTACATGGCCTGTAACTTCGGGAACGCCGTCTTTTTATACGTACTGTTCGCCGGTTTCTACCGGAGCTCCTATAAGCAGAAAGTCGCGCAAACGGCGACTAAAACACACAAAACACTCAAAACTCAATGATATGTTATATTCAACACTATTTGCCAATACTTTTGTCTCAAACGTTGCCATTTATCTTACGAAACAAATAATTATTACAAGTTTTATAATTGAAAATAATTTACTTTTTTAGTAATATTTAATTTATAAAGAATTTTATTTTTGAATTGTTTTAAAATAATAATTATAATACTCTAAGAAATACTTAAATAATATTTTTCTTAAACTAATTAATTGTAAAATATATCCAACTTTTCAAGTGATAGACAGTTGACAGGGAAACGAATGAATGAATGATTTTATTTTGAATGCCATTTGATTATAATAATTGATTTTAAATTAAGTTATAAAATGAATACAAAAACAAATGTTTTATTAAAAACTAAATACAATTGAAAACAAAAAACGTCTTATTTCCGGCGCTTATGCGGTGAGGGAGACCTCTTCTTACGTGTAGGGCTCCGGGATCTATGTCTATGATGACTGTGACCGCTATCATGGCTATGATCTCGACTACCTCTTCGAGGGGAACGGGATCTGCTTCGAGACCTACTCCGCCTCTTACTCTTAGGCGAGTGACCACCACTTCTGCGGTCAGCCTCGAAGTCATCGTTACTATCGTCAGCTCTCTTCAAGAGTTTCCGGCTG